CATTTACAAATATTTCTAATAACTTTATTTTTTATCCATTTAAAATTAATTTAAGAAAAATTTTTAAATACAACTTAATTATTTATTTAATTACTAACAATTACAAATATTTCCTATAATTTTATTTTTTATCTATTTAAAATTTATTTCAGAAAATTTTTTAAATAAAACTTATTTATTTATTTAATTACTAACAATTACAAATATTTCCTATAATTTTATTTTTTATCTATTTAAAATTTATTTCAGAAACGTTTTTAAATAAAACTTATTTATTTAATTAATTACTAACAATTACAAATATTTCCTATAATTTTATTTTTTATCTATTTAAAATTTATTTCATAAAATTATTTAACTTAAACTTAATTATTTATTTAATTACTAACAATTATAAATATTTCCTATAATTTTATTTTTTATCTATTTAAAATTTATTTCAGAAATTTTTTTAAAGAAAACTTATTTATTTATTTAATTACAAACAATTACAAATATTTCCTATAATTTTATTTTTTATCTATTTAAAATTTATTTCAGAAAATTATTTAACTTAAACTTAATTATTTATTTAATTACTAAAAGTTACAAATATTTCCTATAATTTTATTTTTTATCTATTTAAAATTTATTTCAGAAAATGTTTTAAATAAAACTTATTTATTTATTTAATTACAAACAATTACAAATATTTCCTATAATTTTCTTTTTTATCTATTTAAAATTTATTTCAGAAAATTATTTAACTTAAACTTAATTATTTATTTAATTACTAACAGTTACAAATATTTCCTATAATTTTATTTTTTATCTATTTAAAATTTATTTCAGAAATTTTTTTAATACAAGTTAATTATTTATTTAATTCCTAACAATTACAAATATTTCTAATAACTTTATTTTTTATCTATTTAAAATTTATTTCAAAAAATGTTTTTAATACAAATTAATTATTTTTTTAATTCCTAACAATTACAAATATTTCTAATAACTTTATTTTTTATCTATTTAAAATTTATTTCAAAAAACTTTATAAATACAAACTTAATTATTTTTTTAATTCCTAATTATAATTACAAATATTTCTAATAACTTTATTTTTTTTATTTAAAAATAATTTTAGAAAATTGTTTTGATTTATTTTGTACTAACCTAACGCTGTAACTTAATGAACTAGGAATTACTCGAAATTAATAATGTTTTCAATAAATTGTGAATTACTTAAGTATATTAAAAATTATTAGCTACACTAATAACAATAACAATAACAATTTAAATAACAACATAAAATAAAATATAACAATTATATTTTCTAACAAAAAAATTTAACAATAAATTAAAGTAAGTAAATTAACAATTAACAATCAAATTAATTCAATCAACAATTTAAAAAAAATAACACAAAATTAAAAAGTTAACAATAATATTCAATTAATAAAAAACTAACAACAACATTAACATAACAATTAACGATTAAACATTTCAATTAACTCTCACAATTTACACTAAAATAACACACAAAATAAATTTTAATTAAATAATCAAATTAAAAAAACACATGTAATAAACAAACAATTCAATAATTAAACTACCAATAATAAGTAATTAAAAAATAAAATAAAATCTAATTATTTGACATAAATAAATAACTGAAAAAATTAATAATTGAAAGGATGGTTTAGATTTAGGTGGACCTGTCACCAAGAGAAGGAGTGGGAGAAACTGTCGGAAAAAAGCCTCGTCGGAATATAATCGCCGAAAAACGAGCAACTTCAACGGAAGAAAGAAAACTTGAAAGGAGGAGGAAAAGAGGGAAGCAATATGGAGATTTTAAGGAAACAATAGCTTTGAGGAGAGAGATCAAAGGATTGGAGACGAACAAAGGCAGAGATGTCGGCTGTCGGAGGAGAAGAAGAGAGGAGAAGAAAATAAAAAATGGCGATTCCGATCGACTGCTATTTATAGAAGGGTAAAGTGTGACCGTCGCTAAACCGTCGCTAAAAGTAAATTCGAATTTTAATTCAACCGTTTCCCACCAACGGTTACTTTTAACAACTATTTAGCGACGGTTTGTGACCGTCGCTAATTTAAGGTTTGCAATGGTTATTTTTGCAACCGTTAAAATAATAAAATCAACTTACCAACGGTTTAGCGACGGTCCGGGACCGTTGCTAAACCGTTTCCATGATGATTTGATGACGGTTTAGAGACCGTCGCTAAAACGAATATTTTGGCAACGGTTTGATAATACCAAACCGTTGCTAATTTTCCTTTTGGTAACGGATTAGCGATGGTCTTGGACCGTCGCTAACATTTTTATTTATTTAGGGTTTTTTTTAATAAAACCGTTGACAAAATTTGAAAAAACATTTGCCAACGGGTTTAGCAACGGTTTAGACCGTTGCTAAAATGGTTAGCCTATAAAATTAGCAACGGATTGGTGGACCGTTGCTAAAGCACGTCACAAAATTTAATTTTTGTAATTATTTTTTAGACCGTTGCTAAAGTGTGAAAAATTGTTGCTAATTCAGACATTTAGCGACGGCTTGTTGACCGTCGCTAAAACTAATTTTTGTTGTAGTGGTATCTGAATATAATTCCAAGAATTGCTTGTCTTTTGATGTCATACTTTTTAAAGCATGGGAGCTTGGTATCACTTGAGCTACATAGGTGGACTTTAGTAAAATTGGCACTATAGTTCGTGCACTTAAGACACCTTAATTTGTTGCATGCCCTTAGAAAGTAACGTTGGATTGAATGCAAGAAAATTCTACAAAATGAGAAGATGGGTGGTTATAGCAAGTTGGAAGAAAGAAAATTGATATCACGTGAGTTTTTTTTTTTTTTTTACCTCTTCATTTAAATCTTTTGACTTTCTTTCTTTCTAAAATTTTTAGAGAAAATCGACTAACAAAGATCTGTTTTGAACAGATATTTGATAGTGAGGAACGTTTCTGCTTTGGGATGCGATGATAATTTGTTCAAATTCTTTGCCTCTTATGAAGATGTTGAGGAGTGAGTAAAACCCACTTCTCCTCTTCCTTTGTTATATATATATATGCTTTGATTTTCCTAATTATTGTTTAAAAATTGGTTGAATGTGTAAACCAATGGATGCAGAAGATTGTGAGCAATCTACTAATGTTTGCTAGATTAAGTTCCTTTGGATCAACAATGCAAGGTGAGCTGATTCATTCATAGTTGTCTTTAACTTCTGGACTTGCTTCTTTCATTCATTTTTACTTCTCCAATAACGTTTCATCATGTGGGTAATTTTCAAGTTTGCTAAAAGAAAATTGGATAAATCTACGTGTCTAAGGAACCCTTTGCAGGTCTCTTCTGCTCCTCATTTTGAGAGACACAAAGGATAAGTTAGAAGGCATGAGGAAGGAAGTTCTGCACGATTGAACTGTTAGTTTCTGTTTCTGTAAAGAATTGGTTGTTTTTTATTATTGAAATTTGCTTTCTGTTAAGGATTTTGTATCACTGTGTATTAAGTCAATCCTTTATGGTTTCAGTTGGAAGAACCAGAGGTCCTAGACTTCATCATCCGGGTGCCATTGCTTCCATCATATATTGTCTACATTTCTCCGCACTTTGACTCTAATCAATTTTGGTAGGCTATTTAAATTTTCTGACCAATTTTTTAAAGATTTTATATCTCGTGTATTAAGTCAATTTTTTATGGTTTCAGCTGAAAGAACCAAGGGTCCTAAAAGTTCATCACCAGGGTGCCTCAAGCCAGGTTTCATTGCTTCCATCACTGATTGACCACATTTCTTAGCACTTAAACTCTAATCATTCTATAATGTGTGTTGTCTTTGTTTTTTCCCCTAAGTTTTACCCTTTTTTTTATTCTCTTTTTAACATTTGCTTTTACGCATTCAAATTTAATATATATATATATATATATATATATATATATATATAAGATAGTGTAAACATGTTCTAGCCATTTATGCTCATTCATTTGTTTATCTTGCAGACATTGGATATAGCAACGGAGAATCCAAATTAATGAATAGTTGTGGCATTTGCAGCTGGTTCAAATGTTACTCTTATTGTTGATCAGGTACGATGGCTTTGTTGTTGTAAACAATTTGCAATACCTGGATTATCAGATCATGTGCTTTGAACTGTATGATTCTAATGAGTGTTGGTTTTTATTTGGTAATGCAGGAAGAAAAAGGCCTCTTTAATAAAAATGGAATGCCCAAACTAAGTTTTCCAAATCACTGAAAAGAGAAAAATGATGTCTACTGTGTTGGATTTTCACAAAGGGGATTAATGGGCATTTCAATTGATGCTCAACATATAACCAATGGCATCATTTTGGCATGGAAGGGAACTTAGGAGTGATTGAAGGTTGAAAAAATACCAAGAAAGCTCATGGTAGCGTATGGGTTGGTCAATTATATTTAGATGCTTGGTTTAGAGCTTGGTCTTTTTGTGCTTAATGTTACACACCTGGATGCTTTTGCTTATTGTTAGGGGAAGTCTGCGGTTCTGCTTTTGCACGCAACTGTCCAAGGAAGTTTTTCTTTCCTTCCTTATGTAAGCATAAAAAACTTAAAGAAGGGTATGATGGGATGTTTTAATTCAAAGACTTTGAATTTGTGCTATTTTAACTATTATTAGAGAATTAATACAAAACCTCTTTAATTTAGCTTGAATGCTCTTTTTAATTCATGACTAGCAGACAAGTTTCGTCCTCTAGATATATTATAAACATTTGAGATATTGAGATCATGCAACAAAGCATAAAATACTGTTTTTTATTGCAAAGTAACTCAAAAAAACAAAACAACATTGCTAGCATGATCAACATTAACACTTCAAAATAACTATCTGATTAATCAACTCCAGTTTGTAGATGGGGACTTCGATAGTATTGGAGGTGAGGGAATGTTATGGATAGCAAAGGAGGAAAAAAAAAAAATTGACGACTCTCATCAATGATACAGATATTATGACGTAAAAGACATGAAGAAAAGATAATTTTAAAGGCTCTCATCAGCAAGGGACTTCCTCCGGACGGCTGGACAGGGTTTCAATGGCTTTCCACAGAGGTCCGTATTATTTGCGAAGCTATCAGCAGGGATGTTAGCATGGAGAAATGTGGGGATTGGCCCTGATAGGAGATTGTTGGTAACAGTAAATACCTTGATCCGACTAAGCAGGCCAAATTCCAGTGGAATGTTGCCTGTTAGCCGGTTGTTGTCAAGTTCGAGATCATTCAAGTAAGTACAATTTGCTAAATCATGTGGAATTTCCCCCGAAAAGTTGTTGAATGAGAGATCAAGGCTTGTAACAAAGGGAATGATCTTTGATATATTAGCAGGGATTGAGCCAAACAGCTTGTTGTGCGAAAGATCCAAGCCAGTCAAGCTTGTGCAGTTCTTGATGCCAAGGGGGAACTTGCCCTTAAGACCCAAGTCTGAAAGGCGGATATTTAGAACTCTGTTCTCATCAGGGTGCCAGCATTCAACACCCATAAATCTACATATGAAGCCTTCAGTGTTGTTGCTGAAATCCCATGTAGTGTTCAAGTAGTTGTTAGGGTCCACCAGAGAAGCTTTGATGGATTTCAAGCACGCTATATCAGTCTCGGTAGCATCACTCACAGTTATGCTACTACTGATCAGCAACACCAAAACCATCCAAATCAAAATATGGGCAACAACCATAGGATTTTTCTCACTCAATGCCATTGGCAAGGTAAACAACAAATCCTCAAGAACGAAAGTTAACTTCTAGACCAAAAACCAAAATCCAATGTAACTTGTAATCCACCAGAAGCACATGGAACTTCCAAAAAGCAGAAGAAAAGTCAACAAACAAACAACCTCTAATCTTAAACAATCCAACTAAAACTCCAATTCAATTATCTCGATGATGCATTGAAAGAAAACAAGATTTGAGACATACCCAGATGGTGATGACGACGACGACGACGACGATGAAACGGAAGTGGGGAGCATATAAGTAGTCACCACGCTGCAACAGATATGCAAGAAAAATGAGAAAATAAAGAAGAGAAAGGGCACTGTTGTTGCACTGAAAACGTAGGGAAGGGGTTGAGCCGAGTTGACTTGAACAGAAGAAAGAGGTAGGAAACATCATTTTTTATTTTTTTACCTCTTCAAAGAAGACTTAGTACAAGTCTTCTCTGCTTTCCTACAACCCAAAGCACACGCAAGAGCCCAAAGTGAAAAGGGGAATGGAAGAAAAGTCTTTAGGTTTGAAAATTCAGAGCCAATGAGAGACAAAAACTGTTGTGTAAGAACGACTGAAGGAAAAAAAGAAAAAATAAAAACAAGAAAAAAAGGGTGATTTGTGGAAACTGGTTACTAATGAATTGACTGTTTGACTGGAAAGGAAACCATAATGTAATAACATGCATACATACATAGAAACATATACATAACCAAAGAAAAAAAAAACTTTCTTTTGTTGCTTTTGTGGATTGCTTGCATAGTGGGTGGGTCATCATGTCGCATCCAAACAAATGTTTGTGTTAAATATGAAGTTGGGAAGTCCGTCTGGGTCAGGCAATTTGCAATTTGTGTTGACTCAGTCTTTCCCCTTTAGTTAAGGCATTCATTTCCTTTTCACACTCATTCATCTCACTACAGTTTTTTTGTTGCTGGTTTCACATTGGGCAGAGGGGTATAAGTCTTGGGCCAATCCCTGTCATTTGATAAATTTTATGGTAATCAAGCATTAGATAACAATAATTACTTTACAGGAAAGAACTAGACCAAAAAAAAAAAAAAAGAGAAATAAGAAATAGAATTTGAATGGAAATATTCTTCTCCATTTGATTTTCACACCAATCATAACCTTATTCCATTATTGAATTTCTTTGCTTTTTTCCTTTTTAGATATTCTTGCAACTCCTGTGATGTTTAAATCACACCATTCTAATTAAAGTCACGATAAATATAATATAAAATGAAAAATGAAATTTCTTGTAACAAGCAGCATTACTCTATTTTCGGGCAAACATTTGAATGTTTTGCCCGAAAGTTTTGAATTTTCACATTGGTTCAATTTTTTATTTAATTTTTGTGTTTATTTTTTTTCTGAAAAGTGGATCCAAAGAGTAACTACCGTCTTTGAATATTATAAAATTTCTCGTAAATATAAATTAGTGTTAAAACAAAAAGTTTCAATAAATATATTATTAGGTGAATAGTTGTTTTTATTTCTTCATACTAGGACATTTATTATTTATGTTGTTGAAAGATACAAAAATCAATGTAGTTTTAGATTTTATATCGGTTTTGATAAAATATTTTTGTCAATTTGAATGAGAATATCTAACATAAAAATGTATTGAAAAATTATTTGATAATCCGGGAGTAACGCTTGTTCAATTACTTAATCTTTAGTCCAACGACTCACATAGTCGCTTATAAAAATATTTTTAGCTTGATAATCTATAAACCATCATCAACCCACGTTATCTAATTAGAATGTTAACTTCATATATTTCTACTAAACTTACTTATTTATTTTAATTAACTATTATGATTTTCATTACTAAATAACAAATTTTTTGGTCCGTATTCTAACATTGAGGTTCTAATCATGATTTTAAATAACGGATGCGATTGTAAAAATGATCATGACGGTGATCACATGTCAAGACTTATTACGATAGCAAAATAACAATTGCGACGAATAGATATCGTAAATACATTAACAACTATTAATAAATTTATTTTAATTTACATATTGATAACAATTTTACTAATTAAACATAATAATATATCAAATAGTGTAATATCATTCAACCTCCCCTCCCGCAACTCGCCTAATTGCTAACTCAAGATATTGTGGATATATGCTCTTAAAGTCCGTCTCAACAAAGCCTTTTAGCTCAAGGCTTTTTACGACCACATTAAACACATTGTGTATGCCTTCGGTGTTCATCAAGATTCTATTGAAAAATCATTCCACGAGCCGCAATCCTTCCATGAGGTTTCATGTGCTCGGATTACTTCGTCAAGCATTTTACCACTCACATTGTTAAAGTATATGTCAATGCCTTTGGGGAAGTACCTTCATCATAGAAAAAGGAACATAACAAATGACTTTTAAATTGTATAAACAAGCTAAAAATCTAAGAACTTGATTTTATTTGATGAAAAAACGATTGCTAACAGCTTCCCCATCAAACTCATTAACGCATAGTAAATTAAATTTGTCAATTTCTTAAGTCTCGCTTGTTTCTTTTTCTCTTAAAAAGTTTGAGGTATCCTATGGAAAGATCTTGTGTGATTAGCCTATTCGCATATCATTCTATTTTAGGAAGTAGATCATTAGTCTCCTAAGTATTTGGAGTTAATTTGCAAAATAGTAGCTATCACTCTAATTTAGAAATTTATATGTTTTTTTTTTAAGAAGCAGATTAGGAAAAAATCTTTGTCCGTAAATATATAGTCTTACCTCAATTTATAGTTGAAGAAAATATTTTTCTCTCCTAGAAACTTTCATGGTATTAGAACTAGGTTCTCTTATTCGGCTATTTGTTGTCCAATCAACTATCTATTGCTTAACCCTAAAAAATATTTATCATATGTCCTATTCTTGATATCGTCAAACAATGAGCAATACAACTATTAGTGGTTTTGCCTATAAAGGTACAGACTCTTTATGCAAAAAATACAAATACTTGGATGCTTGACTTTAGGGCATCTAACCATATGATAGGTAATTTGTCTCTGTTTTTAACCCATACCCCTTGTCACAAGAATTTCAAAGTTAAAGTAGCAGATGGTACCTTTTCTCGTGTCACTGGAAAAGGCTTAATCCATCTCTTAAAGGAGATTTCTTTGAATTTTGTTCTCTATGTACCAAATCTTGCTTGTAACTTGATCTCTATTACCAAGATTACCTACGAGCTTAAGTGTATTGCTCGCCTTTTTGGCAACTCTTGTATACTACGAGACTTGGAATCGGGAAAGATGATTGGCGAGTGCTAGAGAAAAAGGTGGACTCTACTATTTTGGAGATGGCAAATATGTGACTAAGCAAGCTATCGTGGTTGAGAATGACTTTACTTCGCTCCCAATAATAATGCAATAATGTTATACCGTAGGTTAGGACATCCTAACTTTCATTATCTCAAACATTTGTTTTCAAGTTTATTTATCAATAAAAATCCTAATCTTTTGCTAAGGAGAGACCCAACAAAGGGTGTACAATAGACATTTTGAGATACAATGTTAGAAAAATGAAGGATATTATTAGAAAAAAAAATGAAGGTAGAGAAAACACAAAAAATAACTTTATTAAACTTTGATCGACTTAAGACTTAATTATGCTATTTTATTGAGATGATAGGTGCATTTGTAGAAATTTCGATGGAATAAATCAAGTGTATATTGTGTATCATTTTAGAAATACAACAATCTTGGCTATTTTATTGTATTTAATAAATTTGTTCGATTATAAGACTTGAAACTTAAGAAAAAAATAAAAAAAAATAGTACTAATTTTATTTAAAAAAAAAAAACGAGATAAAATTATACAATCTTTTAGTAGGAAACTAGAAAAGAAAAATCAAAAGGTAATTTTTTTTTAATCTAAGCAAATGACAAAGACATGTATATATAAACAAGAAGAAATAGTTGTTTGAGAAGGAATGATTGAAGAAATGAATGATTGCAATTATTCCTTCTTCAAATGGTAAGAAACAGACAGTTAAATCTTTGTCGCTTTAAACGGTAAGAAATGAATATTTAATTGTACGCATTTCTAATCGTTTCAACGGTGTACTCGTTTCAAAACAAGACGTCTTTTTTCTTTTCTTTGTTTTTACTAATAAAATTCTCTATTTATTTATCTAAATATTCTAACAAACCTTCAATTATTTTTTTATAAAATATTAGCTATATAATTTAGAAAAGAAAACAAATACAAAACAGGGTAACAATTATTTGAACCTTTAATTAATATTTCAACAATATTACTTTTAAACTAACGAGTTAATATTATTTTGAAATAAAGTTTTTAAACAAAACAAGTGTTGTATCACACATTATACTCAAATATTCTAAAAGTTTCAAAATCATCATATTACGACCTTGTAGTTAATCTCGATTTTCATAAATAATTCAGAAAATTTTTCCAATTTCTCAAAAAATATGGCTCTACTTTCATGTTTATGTAGATGTGTGTCTACCAAGAACATTATCATGACTCTAATATCTAATCCTTAAAGAACTATAGACCATATTAAAAGTTTTATTTGAAAAAACTTAAACTTTTATTTTGTCATGGGATACATGCACTTGCACTATAGGGATGGAAAAAATAAATTAGTTTATGTTAGTTAAATACACTTATGATTCTTTTTTTTTTTTTTTAACCTATGTCTTAAGATCTCTAGTCAACTAGGTAGGGTATCTTCATAATAGTTTATTTATTTTTGGGTTTAAGACTTATCTCTCTCAATGCTATCCAAATCTTATATTTGGCCAAAACAATCTTGTAAAAAAATCATCTAAATTATCCTTTGTGTTGATATAATCAATATTTATGGTACCATCGTTTACACATAACCTCGCAGTATTATGTTTTCTTCCAAAGCTGTATTTGTTTGGTGGAAAACAACTTCCAATAGGAAAAGCAATTCTAGAGAAACTATTTTTTAGGAAATTTTTTTTTAAAAAAAATATATTTTCTAACGTTTGGCAATCACATAAAAAAAATTGTTAGAAAATATATTCCATCTTTTGTTTGATACGAGAAAACCGAAATACAAAAACAAAGTTATGATTATTACATCGACGAGTTTTGAGAAAACTTCAATAAGACATATTCACAATCTCATAATATAAAAATTGTTAAAAGATCTCACATTCATAATAGTCCATAAACAAAAAGCTATCAAAACAGAGCATATGAGTTATCGATATGTTGGTGTATCAAAACAAAAAGTATCCATTATAATCAAGAATATATCGAAACAGAGACCCATGGTTTTAAATATCATTGGACCATAATTTTTTTTCATTTAGATGTAGGAAATATTTTAAAATCAATTTACAATTAAAACTAAATCTTTTTTTTTTTGGAAGGATTTTTAAAATATATTTTTAAAATCAATAAGATACATTTAAAAAAATTTAATAAATTTTTTTAAATACTGACTCTAAGGTTTTAATTCAAAAAATAAAATGAGTTACTAATATGTTGGTGTATCAAAACAAAAATCATTCGTTATAATCAAGAATATATTGAGACAAAGACTCATGTTGTTGAAATATCACTTGGACCATAATTTTTTTTTTCATTCGGATGTAGGAAATATTTTTAAATCAATTTACAATTGAAACTAAATCTTTTTTTTTTTTGAAAGATTTTAAAAATATATTTTTCATGCATATGAGTTACCGATACGTTGGTGTATCAAAACAAAAAGCATCCGTTGTAATCAAGAATATATTGAGACGAGAGACCCATGGTGTTGAAATATCATTTGGACTATATATTTTTTTTTCATCTAGATGTAGGAAATATTTTAAAATCAATTTACAATTAAAACTAAATCTTTTTTTTGAAAGATTTTAAATATATATTTTTAAAATTAATAAGATGCATTTAGAAAAAATTAATAAATTTTTATAAATACTAACTCTAAGGTTTAAATTCAAAAAATAAAAAAAAATGTATATTTTTAACCATCAAATCAATTCATCAAAGCTGTTTAGGACAAAATCGAGTCAATATTCATATTTAGTGTAAAAAAAATTCTAACTAATCCTAACATTGTTATTTTGGTAACTCAATTAAGAATTCTTTTTCTTTTTCTTTTTCTTTTGGAAATTGAACTGATAACTTAGTGAAAAAAAATAGTTTTACAAATTATTAGTTATCATTTGTAGATAATTATTCATTTGGTTTCAAAAGATTAATATTGGAATAATTTGTAACTAATTAGTGACTACAATTACTAATGAAATTTTACAACTAATTAAAATTAGTAATAAATTATTGATTTAGTTGCAAATGAATAGTATATGAAAAATAATGTATTTATTAATAAACTAACTAATTTCGAATTTTTCTCAAATCATTGTAGTTTTGTAATAATCATTTTCAATCATTTAAGTATAGTTTAGGTGATGTTTGGGATAATGATTAAAAATAGAGATAAATTATTAAAATATTTATTATAAAAATAATTTTAAGTTGTGGAAATGATTTTTAAGAATATTTAATGTATTTATAAATTGAACAATAAAATGTTAGTAGAATTAGAGAAAACGATAATTGAATAATTAATAATAATTGATAAGAAACAATTAAAAATTAATTTGATAAATTTAAAAAAAAAGAAACAATTGTTAAAATATATTGAGAGAGAGGTGAGTAACATGAGTAAAAGATAGCTCGTTAGAGAGAGAGAGAGAAAATATATATTTTCTTCTTTTTTAGTTGGGAATTCACTTTTTTAAAATAGTATATTAATTTTTGTTGACTAAAAATCAAATTTCGTTAACTTTTTTTCGAACCCGAAACAAACATCGAAAAATGAGAGAAAATAGAGAAAACAAGTTCTCGACACTTATTTTCTCCGAAACAAACACAGACCTAATATCTTTGAATTTTCCATCATAATATTTATGTGCATAGTTCCAATAGCAATTGTGCTTACCATAATAAATTAAGACAAGTTGTATAGGTTTTTTTAACAAGAAATTTCATATAAAAGATAATGTAACCAACCTACTTAATCATCTGGTCGAGGGTAGAATTATCAACTTTGCATCCATTGTAGATTTAGTAATAATTGACAATTTTTTATTATTATTTCCAACATATCATCTAAAGTAAAAATATACCCGAGTAGTAGACATTGAATCACCTAATAAGATATTATAATCGGCATTACTATACCCTTTAAATACGAGTGTGATACTTATGAATTTTGATATAAAAAGTCCTATAGTTCATTTCATATTAATTTCATTAAACGAGTTATAACATTCCAATGTTGAGCATTAGGTTTGCTAGCTAGCAAACCTTGCTTGTACTTTATTAGTAAAGGTAATATCAAGTCTTGTGCAATTTGTAACATATCTAAACTTTCAATAATACTAGTATTAAGCTTTCAATAATACTAGCATACTCTTTTTTATGACAAATATCATTATTATTATTTTATAGAAAAAAGATGCAAAGCGATATCAATAGGATTTCTCACGGGTTTGTTATCTATAAAATCGTATTTTTAATATCTTTTCAATATAACGAGATTGATCAATAAATATACAATTTAAAATTATAGTAACTTTCATACCAAGTATTGTATTTGTTTCACCTAAATCCTTTGTATCAAAGTTATTTTGAAGCAAAAAATTAGTACTACTAATAATATCCATATTTGAAGCTAAAATTAAAAAATCATCTATATATAAGCATATAATCATGTGAACATCATTTAAAGATTTATAATATAAGCATTTGTCACTTCCATTAGCTTTGAACTTGTCTATAAACCCATCGAGATTCAACTTCCTTTTAAGCACCTACTTACATCCAATCGTTTTACAACCTGAAGGTAATTCAATTATTTTTCAAGTATTGTTTGAAATGAGATTCATTTCATCATTAATTTCTCTCTAAAAAATCTTTATCATGAGAAGATAAAGCCTATTCTAAAGAAGTAGGATCATCTTGTATATTAAATAAATGATAATCAAAACTAAAATCTTTTTTCAACTCTAAACCTTTTACTTCTTGGTTTAAAATTATTTTTATTTTCAAATCTTGAAAAGGATGGTTTAGTACTTAGTTGAAGATTTATGTACCCACTATATTTTGTTTCAAAAAGATTTTTTTTCATGAAAAATAGCATCCAAGGATTTAATAATAGTTTTATTAGAAAGATAAAAAAAACCCCATAAGTCGAGTAGGAATTTAATTTCTCTAGTGGAAGTTTTTGAGTTGTTTTGTACCATTGGAAGGCCGAAGTGATAGATGATGCTTTTCACATAAAATATATCAATTGGTTGATTGTGATCGTGGTCGTTGCCTCTCTCTATTTGGATAATCTAGGGTAATCAATCATCAATGCCATCAAAATTGGCAAATGGTTTTGAATTTTTGTTTAGTTTTGGGTAAAATTATAATTGTTCTTTTATTTTCTCGAGAGAGACTTTAAAGCAACATAGAGAGAATTGTTGACATCTAAAATAAATATTCTGAACTTTAGACACATAGGTAGGATATACGTAATGAGAATTTAACAATTGCCATGATCGATATTGGAAGAAACTATTTGGCAAGACACGGTCGATTTGCACTTTACTCGTTTTAGACTTAAAAGAATTTGTGATTCAAGATTATTCTACAAGATTATACCAACTCTTCGGGATATGAATTTTATTATTTAGTCTTTGTAAAGAATTCAAAATCTTATTCTGTTTAGAATATGTGTTTTGTTATTTGATTTGGACATCAATGTTAGTCCTAATTGATATTTTTTCTATTTAAGGACTAACTCTTAAATCAATTATTTTTTCTTTCTTGTATCATAAGTCGGTTATTGAGTCTTACAATAGTGTAAATAGAGGAACACTTATTTCAATAAAAACTTTTCAAGTTTTTTTGTAAGTTAATCTTTTTCAATTTACTTTCCGTAAGTTTATTTTTTACATCTTTACACTTTATGATTATGATTTATGTATGGCATTATCTCGTTTGCTTTGTTTATAGTTTTATTTATTTTTTATTTATTATTTTCTTTACATGCTTTATTTACAAGGTTTTAGTCTATTTTAATACTTTTTTTCCATCCAATTTAACATTTTCTTTTAGCTTTGCAAGTATTTTGCTCGATGCAAATTTCCAATAGTTTAATTATATAAATTCCTTTGATTTATCGCTCAATATAAAATTTAATATTTATTTGGTGTAAACCTTTAGGTTTACCAGCCAATTATTCAATACGAATTTACATGTCTACCGATCAATGAAAACTTAATTATTTAAAAATTATTTAGACCTTCATGGTTTTCATGATCGATATAAGTCTTCGGGACTTGTATCTTGATTTAGTTTTTGTGCGTAAGTTCAATATTAATGTGTAAGCTCTATTTGAACAATCTTTGTTTATACGGGATGACTTCGCTAACTTGTTTATTTGGACTTGTTATGCCTAGGTTTTTAAGAGAATACACAATCTTGCTTCGACTCATATTCCCCAAAAAGTGGATCCCGCTCTAATAGCTCCGAATAAATTAAATACATGCATTAAGATACGAAGGCTTCTTATTCCACAACAACGAAAGCACGTTTTCACTCTTTCATATAGTAAGGTATTTCAGTCTTTAAAACATTTTCAATTGCTATTGGAAGACCATGACGTAAAACATGTTTTCATGACTTTAAAATGCTTTCCATGAAATTAGGCATGCATAAGCATTTCATTGGTAATGCATAAATAATGCTAACTCATGAGGTGCATGCCATGAATAAATGTAATTATGCCATGATAATATGTAAAATCAATAACACAATTGCATTAATAATATTACCTTACATAAATAATTCCAACCATCACAATCCATATTAAACCAACATATCATTCAAACAACATCATATCACCATCACTCATATTTCCACCAAAAACAACATCATATCACCATCATTCATATTTCCACCAAAAACAACATCCATGCATAATTCAAATACATTAAACATCATTCAAAAACACAATTAGGCATAAAAATTACACAAAACAAACCAAGATCCCAAATTTCCTAATTAAGGACGAATTACGTGATAATTTAATCTAATCTTTTTCTTCAATCCTTAATATCCATTTCAAATCTAATCCTCCTCAAATTAATCCCAATTTCATGAACTAACTTAACTAGGTATTTCTTGATTAATTCTATACAAAAATTTTATTTTGGGCCTTATTGGGTCTAAATTCTAACTTCACCATTAGAAGCGAAATTTTTAATTTTTACTAAAATATTTCATTCTTATTGATTTTATTATGCTATCCCAAGGTCAAATTAGCCAATTTAAGGATTAAAGACCCATTTAAAACCAAACCCTAAATTTTTCCACTTTAGGTCGAAACTTGTTTTAACCTTAACCCTATTATTTTCTTCTCACTTCATCCTAAAATTTTAATACCAAGTAGATTAGCTATACATTAACCCTAGGAATCAATTTAATTAACATTTATGGAACAATTTCCTGTCTAAACCCGAATTGGCCCTTAATGGGCCGAAATTGGGCCTTAGCTAAATTAAGCAATTTTTTAAAAAAATTAGTCATTCCTACTCATTAAATTACTAATTAACCAACAAATCATGAATTGAATGGATGAAATCAAAACCTTAAACATCCAAGTTTAGGCTGAATGGAACCCTAAGTATTTCATGAATTTTTCTCTAATTTAAATAAGTTTTTTTCATTCCTAAACACTAATTTATACTTAGTCATAATTAAGTTCTAAAATATCAATTACATGAAAGGATTAAAAAGCCCCAAATCACCCTTTTTGACCGAATGGTACCCTCCTCCTAACCCTAGAAATTTTTTAGTTTTAAACATCAAATTTAATTTCAATTAGCATAATTCAACCTTAATTGCATAAATTATAAGCTTAATTTCATTTTTTCTAATTTTATTTCATCAAGAACCCCGACCCTAATTTTTAAAATTAAAGCTAAAATTCACAAATTAAAGCACATAAGTCACAAATTAACATCAATTGAACTATCCTTGTGATGTAGGTAGAGTTAACTTACCTAATTAAGCTCCAATTAAACCTTAGAAGTTGGATGATTTGAGAAATTTTCTTCCTTCCTCTTCCTTCACTCGTTTTGGCCTAAACCTCCAAAATTCCTCTTGATAAATTTTGATCTTCTAGCTTGATTTCTTAGCTTGATTAGTTGATTTGAAGTGTTTGGAAGTGATTTAAGTGGATTTTTGGTGAAATTTCCTAATGAAATTTTGCAAGAGTTCCTTTTGGTTTTAGCTAATTTCCATGCTTTTTTTTTTATTTCTCGTAACCGTATTTATAGGCAAATTTTTGGTGGACTTTTGATCTCATCTCCACCATTAAATTGTTGCATTCTGAAGTAATCCTAGCCTTTAAATTAACTTTTAATCCTAGCCCTTCAAATGAACAAGTTTTAGCCTTTAACCTTTCTTTAAGTTTTGGACTTCCATCTTGCAGCCTTTTAGCCTTTTCTTTTTAAGTGAGTCAAAACTCATTAATTAACCCCAAATCATAAAGTAAAAATTTGGCTGGAAGGGTGGAGAAGTGTCCAAAAGTTTGCTTAATTTTAGTCCCTCATTTTACTAATCCTTTCTCTAATTACTCATCTAATCATCCTTTAATTTTTCAATTGACCACTTTGGATCCTTCTCTTAAAGGTATCTTAACAACTTTTAAACTCCTTAGGTTCATAGTTAATTTAATTTAGAAGTTTAAACTTTTACTTTTATGCAATTAGGTCCCTAATTTCTATGCAATTTGGTCCTTAATTCTAAAATTTTATTCTATACTTTTTCAAAATTCAATTTCTTTCTAGAATAAATTCAAAATTTTATTAAAAAAATTTAATCATGATTTACATGATTTTTATGCCCTCATTTAGGCCTCCAGATTAATTATTTAGTGTAAAAATTACACTATTTCCTATAAGAGGTATTCCTTATACATAGAAAAATTAATTTAAATTTTCTAGATACTTCTACGCATCCTAAATGATTTTTACGCATCCTAAATGATTTTTCTATGTCCTTAAAAAAATTTATCATACTTTCTAAGTGCTTAATTTAATTATTCTACCTCAAAAACGCTACTCCTACATATGAAAAGTCAAATAAAATATTCACAACATATAAAATAATTCACGCAATCATATAAAATAATTCAACACCACTTTAACAAGATATTTTTCATGCATATGCAATATACTTAAAATAATTATTTCATACAAAAATTACTATTCATGCATCGTAAAACTTAATAAAATATTCACTAAGCATAAAAGGACTATCTTAACTACTCTAAATATTCTTTTTAAGTCCTTAACGATTATTTTATACATTCAAAACATTTCTCACATGTGTTTAATATTAAATTTTTATTTAATTTTAGTTTTAGCGAGTATCGATTATTACATCGATACTCATCGAAAATCATAAATGGAAGAATCCCAATCCATGCAAATAACTCTTCAATGAATGCAAGTCTTGATTTCCTTTATTCCTTAAGTGCGGTTAATTTCTAAAATTTGCAATAGTTAAGTTATAGTCTGTAATCTTATCTTTGTTGAAATACATGTTGTTTGAGTTGTGTTAAATTTATTGAGACATAATATTTAATAACAATTAGCTATCTGGGAGTGAAATTGACAAATTGAAACAATAGGAATTGGAGATTAATTAGCCTGAATAAATTGTGTAATTTCAACCTTAATTGGGTTGGGTTGGAGTTTACAGATTGGGATTTAGTTTCTATAATTTAGTTGAATATAAAATAAAAAAACACCAAAAACATATCCAGGACATATATTAGAGTACATAGAGTAATTAATTCAATTCATAAATTCAAAACTCCAATAGTTAGGGTGTATTGGAGGCTACTACTAAACAATAAACCCAAACTTTATCCAATGCCTTTTTAATTGCGATAGATACAAAAGAATCCACAACATTAATCCAAGGCCATGGAAGCTGCTGATTTTAAAGAAGTCTTAAATTGGATTAAGGTTAAAGAATGGTAGAATTTGATTGTTTTGGGCTGATAAATGATATCTAGAACGCTAATTTAATGCTCTATATGGCTTTAATATTATGCTAATGGGAAGATATAAGAGAGTATGTTCTTTCAATCATTTAAAACGTAATGTAAATGGAGTTATTCATGCTCTTATTGAACAAGCTTCTCAAAGCTTTTATGTATTAGAATGATCAAATGTTGCTTCTTTTTGCGTGCAAGTGATTATAATGGAGAAATAAGGTTGCTTTGTATTCTAATGCTTTGTACTCTGTCTTTTTTACCCCAACATTTTCACTTACAAAATATAATTCTGAAATTTCAATAATAATTTATTTTTTTAATCATATCATCACATGTAGGGATGGCAAAGAGACAAGTTTGGGATGGGTTATACCTCCATGTCCTTACCTTATATTACTCGGAGCGGAGGAACAATACTTTTTCCCTCTGGATTTGGAGCAAGTTCAGGAATATTGATAAAAGAACATAGTGTGCTGTATTTACAATTAATATTGATAGTTAATATCTAATGAAAAGATAAATATCAAGTCTATAAATATTGAATTTTACCATAACTCTCATACATGGTTAAATATAAATATTCAAAAGATAAATCCAACAATAAATTTATTTTAAAAGATCAATTCTGCAACAAATATACATGATAAAAGGCCAAAACAATTTATATGCTTATTTATTAACTAAAAGGGTCTAACCAATACTGAACTTTAAATCACTTGAGGTTGAGTATCTGAATTTTTTTATTAGCTTTAAAGATATCTGAATTTTTATTTTTTTAAGATTTAGTTCATCTAATGATTTTTTGCTATCATCTTTTCCTCTAAAAAAATTTAATTCTTATTATTGTGAAATGAATTTTGCACACACGTTGAAAAAAATTTAATCCATTTTATAAAAAAATTTCTGAATTTTTCAAAAATCGAAAACTATATTTATTTATTTATTAAACATTAAAAATATAAAAAAATCGAGAAAACTAGAAAATAATTGTGAAATGATCTCAATTTTTTTTAAAAGCTTCATATAAATATAATTGAATGAATTGTATCATAAAAAATATTTATTTGATTGTTATTTTTGGTGATAAATGACAAAAAATGAAAGATAGGCTAAATCTTAAAAAAAAAAAAAAAGTTCAGAGATCTTTAAAACTAACAAAAAGGTTTAAGGATTCAATTTTAAATGACTTTAAGTTTATGAGTGGTTAGATTTTTTTAGCCATTATAAATTAGTATTTTATTTTTTAGAAACCAATCAATTAATCCATTTTATTTAAAAATTTATATTTTTTTAATTAGTATTAATTATATTTAATTTAATATTTTTTTAAATATCATCTTTATCCTTCCTAGTCATGGGTTAATGAAATAGCGTCAGACCCGACACATGTAAACTCGGATCCAAGTAATCCACCTACTGGTCAGAGCTTCGTCTCTCTCTCAACGACGACGCCTAATTGCTGAGACCTCGAATCCAACAAAAAACTGACTGGTAGAGGAGCTAACAACCCGCGCATCCGAGAAAAAAAAAAATCATCATCTTTCATCCTCTAGGCAAACAAATATCTTTCTTGTCAAATTCCCCGAAGTTCAGTTAAAGCCAACTAGTAGTTACGAAATTCCAAATATGTCCTCATCCGATTCCAGCTCCTCCTCCTCCGTTGACGATCCCAATCCTAACCCTAAGCCTTTAGATAACCAATTCGAATCCCTAAACCTCGAACAAGAATCCGAGAGCACCATCATCCAAAACGACGACGGAGAAGGACAACAAGATCAAGAATCATCTTTAAATGGATCGCTGAATGTAAACAGAAACAATCACGAACAAGATGACAGAATTGACGGTGGGCACGTCACCAGTGTTCTGTGGAGGCGGACAAACTCGGAGGTCGAAGTGGACGGTCCTTCCAGCCCGAGCAGTAGTGGATACGCCGGCGAGAGAGGGAGCAGTGGCGCCAGTGAGGATGATGAGATACATGAGGTTGCAAATCATGGTGTTATCGATGGGGTTTTTGATTCGCAAGCTGCCTGGCTGCCTGGCAAACGACATGTGGATGAGGTACTCTCTGGTTTTTCACTTTTTTTTTTTTTTATTGTCATTATTATTATTATAAACATGCATGGATTGATTGTGAATTTAATAATGGTGGGATTTTTAGATAACTGAATGCTGATATATTGAACTTTGGTGGAATTTCCTATATCTATGCTAAAATTTGATTTTTGAAACTTAAGAATGTATTGAACAAAGAGAAGTTAGCTACGTAAATTTCCAGTTTTCGATATGAGTAGCAAGGTTTCTATCATTCTATGCAAAATTAACTATGCATTGGCGTTGTGGTTAAACGAAGCTCATAATTAAGACTCTGGGTCTTTGTTTCTTGACCTCCTTGCATGGCTTGTGTTGATGAAACACTCCATTAGGGATGGGTATTTTTATACTTTCAGATAGATTTGTCAGGAAATGGTGCTGGTGTGACATTTGTTTTTTTCCCCCTTAGTTTTTACATTTCTAGTTATGGGAAATAGTATTGTAGATGGTTTATAAGTTTCGATTTTGACGTGTAGACCAAAAATCAGTTTTGGTGCCAGACATTTTAGAAGTCATTATTGTAAAGAATAGCTCTCAAAGTATATTCTTTTGCTAGTTTTGCTTAAGATTTTCCTAGATAGAGAAGATTTTGTTAATGAAAAGAAGAAAATGTGCAGTGTAATTTTGCATAAGGTGTTCGCCAAACTTGACTGAGTTTGTTCAGCAATATTTTTCTTTAATCTCATGCATTTGAAACCATGTAACCTAAATTTGAGGATTCTCTTGTGTTTTAAAATAGTGGGAGAAGGTTCTGATCAAAGAAGCAATAAAACAGGAACCAAGTGCCCACTGAATTCACATACTCATTGAGGATTGCCAAACAGATTGTCTAAAGCTCAATGTGCAAAAGCTGTGACAACCATTTCCCTCATCATAGGCTTGCTGACTTGATGAATAGCATGTTTCGTCTAGAGAGCTTTAAATCGAGCAAACCAACAAGCACTGAGTGTTGTGCAGTAACGTATACTAGAAAAAAATGGAATAGGTAAAAAATTCCTGTTATTCTGCAACTTTAAGAACATTTTCATGATCGTGTGCTATTATTGTTGCACACAGCTAACAAGAAAAGGATAAGTGCAAAACAAGCCATAATTATAAGCCAGTCCCTTAATAATTTTGATCTAGCACCTTCTATTGTGATCACTGAGGGAAGACAGTTCTCAGTAATGGAATGTACGCATGATTGAAAACTAAGCTCTAGGACAATCCTGACTGCACCCATGAAGCTTCAAGAGAGGGCTTTGACACCTTCTCCTCCCTGCACCCAATTGCACATGCATTTGCCTATCTTTTCAGCTTCAGATTGAAGTTAAAATATTATTTTAGTCTTATCAGGGTGTTGAGAAAAGCTAGTCGTGTACATTGTGCTAATATGGGCAATTATTTGTCAATTCGAGAAATTATTTTTAGTTTCACGAAACGAGCCCAAATATCCAAAAGATTGATACAAAGGAAAGAAACAAAAGCACTTAGCACAAGAAAAGCAGAAGAGAGAAAGAAAGAAAGTAGATAACAGGAGCCTTTAATGACACATGCATGTATCGTGCATTATTTAAGTCTTCGTTATCAGCTACTAGTGATTGATATTTGCTTTGTTCAATGGTTAAACATATTTCTGAAATTTCAATTGCATATGCTGATCTTTTTACCAACCATTGTACATGACTAAAAAGAGGACACCTGCAATATTACATTCTTTTTGATTAATAATTGAAGTGCAGGATGATGCTTCCATATCATGGAGGAAAAGGAAGAAGCATTTTTTTATATTGAGTCACTCTGGAAAACCAATTTATTCCAGGTTTGTTCCAAATGGCCACATCATGAAGCACGCAATTCTTATTCATATTGATGCAAACCATAGTGTAATAAAACACCTTGTGTTTTAGCTTCTGTGCTCAAATTTTTTTATTAACTTCCAGATATGGAGATGAACACAAGCTAGCAGGATTTTCAGCAACATTGCAGGCCATTATTTCATTCGTGGAGAATGGGTACATGGATGAACTTGTGAACTCTCGTTTTCTTCCATGACAATCCTTTGAATTCCAATTACTCAGAAGTGCTTTCTTTTGAGGATCTACAATGGATTCATTCATTATTTGCTTTTCAGGGGGATCGTATCAAATTGGTTAGGGCAGGAAAGCACCAGGTTTGTTCATATTTCATCATTTGACCTTCAAAAAACTGTTCTTCTTCTTCATTGTCCAATCAATCCTTTGTTTTTTCGGACCAAATAAAAAAAATAGTGCCTTTTTTATCATCCTGCTAATTTAATTTGTGTAACCTCATTTTTAAAAAATAAAAAAATAGATAAAAGAATAGCCCCATAATTTTAGGAGATGGTTTTAAATAGCTTCAAGTTGATATGTTACTCCAAAGTTTTCATAGCAGTTTCCTCAATTGTGCTCGTGTTTTGTGGAAGTATCTTCTCAGAGCTCTCTGGTTGGTGAAAGACTGAAGAGCATCTACCTCAAACAAACCTAGTCTGTTACTTTTATTATCTTGTTGGACAAATGGGATTTTTTCTGTAGGAGCACGAGAGAACTCTACTCAATATCTACTGGTTTAAGAACTTTGAATGTTTTCTCTTGGGCTCAGGTGGTTTTTCTTGTAAAAGGACCAATTTACTTGGTTTGCATCAGCTGCACGGAAGAGCCATATGAATCATTGAGGGGGCAATTGGAACTTATTTATGGTCAGGTAGCATTTAATTCCGCTACTCCACTTTTCCATGTGTTGCCTTTCGTATCATTTTCTTACAATTTTCTAAAATGGTTCAAAAAATCCTCCCCTGATCTTCATATTTTCTCTTGTTTTTCTCTAAATGGATGCAGATGATACTCATTTTAACAAAGGCAGTTAATAGATGTTTTGAGAAAAATCCAAAGTTTGATATGACACCATTGCTTGGAGGAACAGATGTTGTCTTCTCATCTCTCATCCATTCATTTAGTTGGTTTGTTCTGTGCTCCCTTTTCTCAAGGCTCCTTTTGCTGGTGTTGGAAAATAGAAAGATACCTCTGCTTCCAATGGTTGAAGTTCTTTTTTTCTTGCCTTGATTTTGTAAGGCCTTTAAATTGTTGAAGCAAAATAAATCTCATGGATGCAAATTTATTTATCAAGACTCTCTGCTTTAATCTTCATACCCAAAAGAAAAGACACGTTCTTGTGGATTGTTTATGAACAATGTGACAGAACTGCATATCATTCTCTTATACTTTGTAATATAAGAAATGTGAGAAAGACTAAATATTGTTCTTATAAAAAGAACTAGTATATCATACCTTCCCAAAAAAAAAAAAAAACTGTCATAATAGGAAGTAACTTTAAAAAATATTGTACTCAGAGATTATGATCTGTACTTGTTTTGTTCTTTTTATAAACAATGCTGACAAATTCTCTGTATAAATTACTAAGGAACCAATGACGAGCTTTGGTGGCCAACTGACTGGATTGATAACTAGGGATGGCAATGGGTACCCATGGATCAAGTTTTTAGAATATCCATATCCATACCTGAAACACAAAACGAATATCCATACTCCACCCATTAGCCAACAGGTAAGGAGATTGGATATCCATACCTCACCCATTTCTCAGCCGATCACTATTCATTTTCCAACATGAAAATAAAAGTAATTATATGTATTTTAGGTTTGGGCTTGTGTGGCAAAACTGCAAATATTTTACATATATGTGTATATTAATATATATTTCGGGTTCGGTTTGGATCGGTTTTTATCAATATGCATGTCCTATCCATTACCTAACTGGTATGGATTTTGAATATCCATTGCCGACTTGAAACAGTAACTATCCAAAAAAAAAAACCTGCTCATTCAGGTCAGTTCAGGTGGGATCTCTATTGGGTACGGATGCCATCCCTGTTAACCAGCAAAGCAGTGGTTTTGGGTGCACTGTCCTATCTATTTTAGGTTGAAAATTTCGCTAGGTACTTAAACTATGATAGAGTTTCTGTTCATGATTATTTTTCCTTGTTCTATGCATGCTTCTAGTTATATTTCTTGAGGTTTTCTAATTTCTCTTGTTATTGACAATCAGCAAGTTGAAATGCTTATGCTCTTTTTCTTCCCATCTGGCATTTTCTTGTTTGTTTTTGGTGAATTATTTAACTGATGTTTTCCTTTCCTCTTGTTGTTGTTAAATGAGATGCAAAGTGCATGTCTTTGTACCCCTTATTTTAATTGGATGGTGCTGATGGAATCTTTTTCTTTCTTTTATCAGGAATCCAGCAACATTTCTTCATGCATACACTTGTCTTCCCCTTGCTTATGGAACGAGGCAAGCTGCAGGTGCTATATTGCAAGATGTTGCTGATTCTGGTGTCCTCTTTGCAATACTAATGTGCAAACACAAAGTAAACACATGCCTTTCCCCCATTGTTCTTGCTTTCCCTTTTTTTTTTTTTTTTTGGCTTTCAGGAACTTCTCTCTTAAAAACTGCATTAATTTTTCAGTTTGAATTTCCTTTAGTTGCTACAGCACTTTATGACTTGAGGCTTGATTTCAGGTTGTAAGTCTTGTTGGTGCTCAAAAAGCTTCTCTTCATCCTGATGATATGCTGCTACTTTCCAACTTTATAATGTCTTCAGAATCATTTAGGCAAGTAAAGTTGACTTTCAGTAGACTTTCATTGTTCCAACTCTCTCTCTCTGTGAGAAATCTTTCCGTCCCTTGTTAACAACCTGCTATGGCCATTTTGAAGGTGTAACGTGACTCTTGAAATATCCGATAGGCTAGTAACTCTATTTGTAACAACTAAATCCCATCTCTTTATGGGTGGTTCAATTGCTCTGAAATCAGCAATGCCACATTTGACTCGAAGAAGTCAATGAGCTTTCCCATGCATGTTCTTGCAAGTAGGGTTGTTCTGGTTTTAAGTGTCACTGCACAATCTGCTAAAAATCCCCAACCCCCCCACCCTCCCCAGGCTTAATTTCCGAATGGAACCTAGAAAATGTAAGAGTCGTGATAATTGAAAAAAAAATAATAATAGAATCTATTTTAGCCTATGGATGATATTTCCAAGTTCTTTCTTGAGACTTGCCTTACATGTTCTTTTGACTTTTTGCAGGACATCTGAATCTTTCTCCCCAATTTGCCTGCCAAGATATAACCCAGTGGCATTTCTGTATGCTTATGTCCATTACCTTGATGTGAGTGAAATTTGGTTTAACAGCATTTCTTCTCAAACACATTCAACTCATACTCCTGTGTATCTGGACGGTGATTGTAGGAGAGAATCGATGACTGCAATTATTTGATAGACATGAAATGATGTTTTTTTTTTCCTAATTGTTGTCACAATTGATAGGAAATGGCATGACCTTAATCTTGTGGCAGGTTGACACATACTTAATGTTGCTTACCACTAGTTCAGATGCCTTTTATCATCTTAAGGATTGCAGGTAACCTGATTGCCAATTTATCATCTTACGTAATTTTATGTCCTGTTATATATTTTCACTATAAATTACACATGTATGGATTTTCTTATACTAAACCCAAATTAGAATTATCTTGGCTTAGATTTTATTGTTAATGCTAGTTGCTCATGCCCATTGCAAGTGAACAGTTGCATTTGTTAAAATAAGGAGACAAATAATTCCACTAGGGTTAAGTCAAGTCATTATGTTGTCATTGCTTTTAATTTCTTATCAATGAAATTCCACTCCTCATAATTTTAATATTTCTAACACTTTTAGGAAATTATTTTATGTGATGCAGAAGGGATTTAGAATTCGAGATTACCTTGCATTTTCTATATCTGATTTTCAGTATGCAATAAGATAGTGGTAGGACTCAGTTTTATTTCCCAAAACACTTTTAATGATGTAAAATCTTAGCCACCATGGAGTGAATGATTCCTTTGGTTTCTATTTCATTCTATTTTGTGTTAAAAAATTTGACAAATTTTATAGGATTCGTATCGAAACGGTTCTTCTGAAGTCAAATGTTCTTAGCGAAGTTCAGAGGTCCATGCTGGATGGCGGGATGCATGTTGAGGATTTGCCTGGTGATCTGTTGCCTCGTTCTGGATCTGCTTCTCATTTAGGGCAGCATCAACAGCCAACTGATTCTCCTGGGAGATTTAGGGAACCATTTGTTGGGATTGGTGGTCCTGCTGGACTTTGGCATTTCATATATCGCAGTATTTACCTGGATCAATATGTGTCTTCTGAGTTTTCGGCACCAATTAATAGTCCACGACAACAGAAAAGGTAAATTGCTGAACCTTGGGGTCTCTTTGTCGAAAAGAAATTTTGAATGCCTTCCATGGTGGACATTGTTCTGCCTTTGTGCTGTCAGTTTAAAACCAAAATCCTCTTTTGCAGATTGTACAGGGCTTACCAGAAACTTTATGCTTCGATGCACGATAAAGGAAATGGGCCCCATAAAACTCAGTTTAGAAGAGATGAGAACTATGGTAAAATATGTTTTATTTTCGTCATGTTTTGTTTTAATTTCCATTAGATCCACAATTTACAAAGTAAAAAATATATCGATGTGTGTTTATGTGCTCTATAGTTTATGAAGTTTGGAAGACCCATTAGTATGCATTTTTCTATACTAAGCTCAAAAGGAGAACGTGTTTTCTTGTCTTGTTAGACATGCTTCTATATATGCAAAATATTTCTTCAAGTTGATGGTGGCTGTGTTATGAACCAGGCCATTTATTTCAGTACACATAACTTTAGAATTTGAATAACCATATTAAATACCTTGCCAAGTTCAATTTTATTGTTGTTCTGATTGATGATTGATATTTTGTTCAGCAAACCTCTGTTTTTGCTATCTGAAATTCTACCCTAATCATGCTCTTCTTAGTACTTTTTTAAATACTTTTATGGTGAAATTGTGTCTCCTTTGTGACAGTTCTCCTCTGTTGGGTCACCCCAGATTTTGAGCTTTATACAGCATTCGATCCACTTGCAGACAAGGTTTGACATCTGCTAATGCATGTTTAAGTTCTTGCCTTTTGTGTTTTAAAAACTGTGGACGGACTGTCCTCGAGAAAAGAGACTAAGATTAGGCCTATGCAGCCGCATCACTAAGGCTCTCATTGGACTCTAATTTATAATCTACTATCGAACAAGATTTTTCTTGGGCACATCAGATAAGCTTCGGGATCATTAATTGTGAAGGGCTGAGGGCCAAGCTCATTATTATCGTGACGTCTTCTTTTGATGTCCTCATGGTTTGGAGAGTGACCTGTTCTCCAACTCTAAATTGATCGTGTGTATTTGCTTTCTTCATTAATTAATGGTTTCTTCGTTCATCAAAAATATATAAAATACTTTATCTCAATTATAGCGCCTTTGCATTTGATCAGACTAGATCTTTCAGCTGGCTGCTCTTAACATAACTCTACAAATGGATTGAATTGTCCTTCTTGGTATTTTTTTGGCATAGTGTAGATATAATGCTGAGCTTTTTAATTGTATTAAATCTGCAGGGATTGGCAATAAAGACTTGCAACAGGGTCTGTCAGTGGGTGAAAGATGTTGAAAATGAGATATTTTTGCTGGGAGCAAGCCCGTTTTCATGGTGATATCCCAAAACATTTTGTAACACAGCATGTATACAAAATTGGACATTTAATTTTTTCTATCTCAGGTTAAATTTAAGCATGCCAATAGTTTACCAACAATTTGTTTCATTTACTTTCTGTTGCGGGTTGTTTTGTGTGTACCTTAATTCTCAAGGAATTTGTAACGGAGTTAAAAGGAGGATTGTTTGGATAATGATTTGTAAGGTAGTTCAACTTTGAGACTCTATTTTAAATGCAATTCACGACTGTAAGGTAGTTAAACTTTGAGACTCTTATGTATTTTAAATGCAATTAGTTAAAAATGCAAGGCTAATTATTCACAACAAAGATCACTTTAAGTTAATAACTTGTATTTTTTAAGCCATTATAATCAAAGGTTACTACTAATTTCAAAATGAAGCGATAGACATGTGATGAATGTAGGATTGCGAAAGTTATTACTTATAAAACTAAAAAGAAAATTTATTGCTACTAATTTCAAAATTAAGCCATAGACAAGTGATGAATGCAGGATTGCAAACTTTAATAACTTAAAAAACTAAAAAGATAATTTATTGGTACTAATTTCGAAATTAATAACTTACAAAACTGGAAGAAAAAAGAAAAAAAGCTGCTTTCATTAATGTAAAGTTTTGTTTACAGATTGGGATTTTTTTTATTTTTTTTGGTCATACAATATTCACGTAGAAATTTAATGCTCGAGTGATATTTAGGAGCTTACAAACAAGAGGACTTAAGTAATCAAGCAATCTGTTTATAAATCTATCAACCTACGATGTTATTGTCTATTTTGATCATTGTCTGCTTGCTATTGCCTACAAGCAATTGTCTAACAAATTTTTAATGTTTTGAAACCTGAAAAAATGCTTCAAGAGCTGCTTGTTGTTTGTAAGGGTTTTTGAGTTTGATTATTCTGTTGTTGATGTCCTTGTCGCACCTTGTATTTATGGGCTTCATAATCTTTCACGATCCTTGCAATGTTTCGTGTTATTTACTCTTTCTAGTTTCATGCTTCATTATTCCTCACGTTGTCTTGTGATGCCTCACGTTTCTTTACAAACCATCCACTTTTTTCATGGTTGTTAGGAAGTTTAACCACATAATTATCTTGTTTTAATTGTTTTGCTTAATCTAAAAGTCATGATTAGCAAGTCTTTTAGTCCAAGCAATTCACCCAAAAAAATTAACCAATAGGCCTCATATGTGAAATCAAATTAACGGACTTTTGGGTCTAGTCTAAACTTTGGATATAAGTCCACTTTCTTTCCTTCTATATGTAAGCATTTCACCTCATGGGTGGCAGAAAAATTATTCTACACTTAACTTTCAACTTACAATGTGTAACATGTATTTTTAATTTATCTGTTGTAAACATATTTTTTCACCATCTATAGACTTGTTCTTTGCAAACCTATATAAATGAACCAACTAAGGGATATCTCATTACTATGCATCTTTTATCTCCATCACAAATTTTTTCGCTTCTTTAAAGTTTCTCTTCTCTCTCCCTATTTTTTTTTTTTTCACTTGTAAAGGACACATCTTTTTCACCACCCAATTGAAATTGAAATCTATTATTTTGGACTTTTACTACTTATATCATATTAATATGGCTCTAGACCTCTTAAGTGTTGAGTGCTCCATTGTTGCTTGGACCATTCAAGAATACACTGTAGTCTCAACAAAGTCCACTCATATAGTTGCAAGTTCACCTAGTTCAACAAAGCTCCAGTCTTTACATCTCATTTTTCTCTTATAGAAACGATACAATCCCTTTGACACTCTTTCTACTCCAAGCTTTCAAGTGAATATAAAAATAAAAGATCTTGAATCTAGAGCCATGACCTTGTGTGAGGAGTTACGATCTATTGAGTTGAACCTTCATAACAAAAAGGTTGAAATCTTACAACTTCAACAAGAATCTGCAACTCTACAAGCTCGAATGAGAGTTTTTTCTCTCTCTATTGTGTGAACAAAGACTAGTTTTCTATTCGAGTCTTTTAGCATATTTTCTAAAGTTTTTTTATGACATATAATGTTGTTTTATGGATGGATAAAACTCATGTGCTCTTTGTTCTTAGTAAATAGTTTATTTTATTTCGAAAGCTAAGGTCTTGCTTATATTGTAATCTCTTTTAGTGTTTGTTTAGCCATTTGTTTCTAGCATAATTTAGTTAAAATTAAACAATGCTAGATCTAAATCAATCTTTGGCTATTATTGTATTTATGGTAACATTAAATACATGCAATGTTTTACTCAAATCAACACATGTTTTTTTTTCTAATGTTAACATTAAAGTTTTAATTTTACAAGCATTACCTATGCTTCAACACATAAACCTCCCTCGAATGCCTTGCAAACAAGATTGCATTTTATCCTTATAAGAGATGGAAGGCATTTCATATCCATGAAATTTTAGGATCAATATGAATAAAGCTTTCAATTTGTATAATCCTAACAACCAACTAGGATAACAAATCTCATAGATAAATAAGATAGTCATATAAATTTTTATTGGATACTTTCATCTTTTTATCGGGAATATTAAAAAAACATGTAGTGTTTTGTAATGCCACGCACCCGGATCCATACATGATAGCATTGCTAGTGAGAGGATGCTACACACGATACATAGCTCAACTCAAATATAAGTAAAAATCCTAACATGTAAATACAATATAACTCAAATAAAATATAAATATAATAACTAAAATCCTAACATTTTATCATAGGATTATAACTTAATATATTTAATATGAAATTTCAAAATTTTAACATATGCCATAACTAAATATATTTACTAAAATATAAAACTATACAAATGTTGGAACTTCAAATATAAAATTTAAAATCAAGCAATCAACTAGCAAAAGATCATAAAGCTAAATACATGACAAATTTTAAGTTGTCACTTAAATCTAACAATCAATCGGCTAAAAGGACAAAAGTCTAACCCCTTTACAGAGTGTGCTCAAGGTGGACCAACTATATCATCAACGTCTATGGAGGTTTTGTGAGTCAAAATCTCCTCACATACACTAGAAGACAAAACATGAGCTAACGCTCAATAAGCATGATCATGCATGTTATTTTATAAACTTTTATGATGTATGTGAATATATTTTTTCTTGATGCGGGTATCCCACTAAACGTTATGTCTAGTCCTCTTTTCCTTTACCAAACTTTGCATTTACCATTTGTCTTTCATGCATAACATGATTTGAATGCATTTCATGAAATACGTAAATTTATGCTCATGATGTAAATACACATAAAAATACATCTCAAAACTTATTTAATCACATAACACATTCACATATAAAGTCAATGTGACATGCTTACCATAGTTCCTTTGCAATTCAACAATTATCCTTCTCAAGTAATTTAATTCCTATCATTAAAACAATTCACAATAAATGTTTCGCTTAAATCGGTAAACTCATAAATAGACTTCTTACTCAACAATTAACTAATAAATCCTAAAATTCATATTTCTCTATTTATCATCTTCAATTTTTCTAAAATACTTTATCATCACAAAAACACTTTCATAAATCACATATTCAACATTTCTAAAATACTTTATCCGACAAAAATACTTTCATAAACCATATACTCGAAACTTCGACTCACTCTAATTTTTACAACATCTTGCAACTACAAAATCTGAATTTAATCTATTAAATTCTAAAATAATTCATATAATAAAATCTAACTAATTAAACTCCAAATTAACTTCATAAATCATCAACCCGTGATAATTAATAATGATCTAACCAATTAAAATCTCTTAAATCATACTTTTTTTCTCAAATGGATTTCAAAATCCTAACTTCATCAATATTAGCTCAAATGACAAATCCATCACAATCAAATCCTATAATCATCTATAATCATCTAAGAATATATCAAATAACCAAAATTAATAGTAGAAACCATACCTTTCTTTACGGTTTTGAATTTCAAGCTAAAGAACACCAACTCTTCTAGCTTTAATCTTACTTGATATCAACTTAGATCATCAAATATTAAAATAATCTTTTTTTTCTGGTAAAATAGGTTAGAAATTAGTGAGAGATGGAAGAGATGAAGTAAAAGGGTGGTGCTCGAGAGAAAATGCAAAAGGAATGAAGAAAAGTTAGAAAATAACCAATTTTTGTCATTTTCTATCCTTTAAAACAAAGGGCTCTTTTTTTTTAATCTTAAAACGCTCTTCTACGCTTTCATTCAAGACTCACAATTTTCATTACTTTGATCCATCTCCCTTAATAAATTTAATCAAATTTAACAAACTCTAATTACCTCATTTTTCTTTAATCTCAAGCACATTTAATTTAAAACACTTCACATAATAAGAACAATTAAAAGATATCAATCACTTCCATAAAAAAAAAATGAAATTAAAACACAAACACAATCATACACATACATAATATGAAGTGTTATAATCCTCCCTCTTTATAAAAATTTTTCCCTCAAAATTTAATCACCAAAAAGTCTCAAATATTTAGTCTTCATCTCTTCTTTCTTTTCCCATGTAGCTTTTTCCACACTATGATTCCTCAACAACACCTTTATTAAAGTAATTTCTTTGTTCCTTAGCTTTTTAATCTCTCAATCCAAAATCTCAACCGAACTTTGCTTTATAGGTCAAACCCACGACTAACTCCAAAGGTTTAAAACTCAACACATGGCTTGTATTCTCGAGGTACTTCCTCGATATAGATACATGGAACGCATTATTAACTTTGGATAAAGATGAAGGAAGGGCTAATTGATAAGTTCTATCTCTAACTCTATCCAAAATCTCAAATGATCCAATAAATCTTGGGCTCAATTTTTCTTTCTCTCCAACCTCATAACTTCTTTCATTAACTCGACTTTTAAGAACACATAATCACTGCTTTCAAACTCCAAATCTTTCCTTCTCTTATCAGCATAGCTTTTTTTCTAATTTGTGGCATCGTAATCCTCAATTGAATCTTCTCTACCATATCTA